TAATATGGCCTGCAAGGAGTCCAAGAGGAGGCTATCACTGACTGGGATGTAGTGGCCAAAACAGTCACAGGTGGACAAGCTGACAGATGGCCTACTGGTATAAGGATACTCTACCTAGCTCTCAGCTCACCTCAAAATATTTGATTCTTCATCGTCTTGCTCTGCATAACTGGCTCCCTTCGGCACATTTCCACACTGTCGGCAAGCCACTGGCCAGTCTCTTATTCAGAATTGGAACCAAGATGTCCTTTGACCTTGGGTCATGGATCTATTCTCATATTCTCACTCTGATTCACCCGAGAGAACAAAAGGTACGACTGCCCTTTCCTAATTTGATCTTTGGAATTCTTACATCACAGGGCCTTGAGCCTATGACGAGTGAGGTGATCAGTCCGACCCTTCTCTACACGATGGACCGGCGTCTGTTGATTGGAGAACATATCTGTGATGTTACTCCGGTGACTGCACCCTCCAATCCTGAGACTGATACAGTGGGAGATAACTCGCCGCATGCACGAGACCTTCAACTCTCTATCCAATTGAAGGCAAGAGTCTCTGAGCTCGAGATTGAAGGCATAATCGCTAAACAGCTGACAGGGGCTCGTACAGAATTAGCCACTGTTCTTCTTCGTTTAAGCCTGACTGAGGCCTCTGCTGCTGCTCCTGTGAAGTCTGACAGTGAGACTCCCTCCAACGCTTGACCTAGCTTTGGCTCTCTTTTGGCAAAAAGGGGGAGTATGAACTCAGGGGGAGTTGTTTGTGTTTTTGTGTACCTTCTGGCCCTGGCTGGGCGATTGTTTGTGATGGCACCTCCTTTTGAAGAATGTTTTTTCTTGACTTTGTTTTGATCCAGCATGACATGTATGCTGTGTTTTTATTTCTGCAATGTAATCAAATGTTGGGTGGCTTTATGATAGCCTATCTTAGTTATCTCAGTTCTTATGTCTTTCTATATAGTCGAGTTGTTTTACCAAATAATAGCCAAATGGGGAGTTTGTTAGTGTTTTAATTGTTCAAAAACCCCAACTTATAATTGGCAATATTATTATGGCATACTAAGATAGGGTTAGTTCAGTGTCTGTTTTGTTCCACAGATGACTGATCAACCAGATTCAACACCAAAAGGACTGACACTGAAGATCTGTTTTAGGAAGCTGTTTTCCTAAATGCTGTACGCGGTTTTACAGAAGTCAGATTTGGAAAGAAGATCAGCGTATCTGCTTTGGAAAGGTATGGACCGAATCCTTAAGATTACATTCTTCAAATATCGTCCTACCATCTACAATCAAAGACATCTATGGAAGGGGTGTTCTTTTGACGGAACTATAAGTATCATCATTCGAAGAGAATTAGGGTTACGACTTTGAGAAAGAAGAAAAACACTTCACATCAGTTTGATGAGATCAGATCTTTGATTATCATGCGTCTTCTCAATACAACATGTTCATGGTGATTAAGATGACGAACTTGAGAAGAATCACTGCTGCTTAAACGAAAGGACACTGTGATCACACTATTGTGGGAACAACTGTAAAGAGCGTCATTGAAGTGGACTGCATCAGAGTGGGCTCTCCAAGTGAAGGGATTTCATTGTACTTCTGTATGCATGGCTCTCCATCTTCAACAATCCACTAAACCTGTGTAGACTGGGTATGTACCTTGTGTAGGGCACTTGGGTAAGATTATTGTATATCTACCTTTGTACATCGGATTATGATTTAGTGGATTGGACGCCTATGTGATCGTCCCCCAGACGTAGATACACATTGTATCGAACTGGGTAAATATTTTTTGTTGTTGGCTTTGTGGTGTTATCTTTTCTTTAATCTTCACTATGATTTTCTGTTACTGATTGAATTCATCACTGAATCAATCAGTCCTTTTAGTCAGTCGATTAATCCAGTTAATCTGTTTAAAAAGAGAAAATGCAAAATTACACCTAGTAGTCTATGTTACAAAAGGACATATGCCATTCCCTGGACTTAGCATATGCATCATTCTTTCCCTATGTTAAATGATTCAAGAGCATCATAATTCACACTAAGCAATTCAACCCTATTTACCTTTACATTTGTTGCCTCTTGTCTTTAGTTGATTCGTATTGCTACAACAAACTTTTGTTTTGTGTGCGCGTGACACGCTTTCAAACAATAACAATGTCTTTGGTTTCCAAAGTTAGCAACCCGGTGCAACTCCAATTTGTCATCCCTTGAGAACGATACAACTCGGGATTCATCCAAAAAAAAAAAAAAAAAACATTCTTCTTGACACACAAAGAAAAGAATGTGGTGTCAAAAAAAAACGTCATTGTCAGGGATTGAACCCGAGACACCCGCGTGATAAGTGAGTATGCTCACTACTATACTACAACGATTTGTTTTAGCCACATGTTGCTTATTAGGAAATTGATTTCATTTGTTGTTTTTTTTTTCCTTTTGTTTTTTCTTGTTCTCACCCTCATCAACTATTTTTAGTTGCGAGCAGAAATCTTATTGACTTGTTTTTCTAGGATTGAATGCAAACGAGATCAAATGGGAACATAGGACTCTTGGCCTTTGAACCCGAAATGAATAGGGCAATCCGAAGGAGAACAACACGAGAACCAATTTCATTGAACGACATGGCTTCTTCAAGTGGCCATAATCAAACTCAAGGAACGGCACAAGGAAGAGAACATCCTATGCATACACCACCATTAAACCATCAAGAGGGAAATGCACATGGAGGAACACCAATGCAAGGAAACCTACCACTTCAAAGGCAAGATGTGAATGAAGGGCAAGACCCATTGGACCACGTTGGGAATGATGATTACTATGAAGCGCCTCAAGAAGGAAGAAGGGCAATTTATATCCTACACCACGATGCGTGTTGCACTGTGCGCCCAGATGCAAAACGACGTCGTTTTAAATTTTTATTTTTTTTTTGAAATTTCCCGCCCCAGTGTATGGCAGTTAATTTTTCTTTAAAAAAAAACCCCTGTTCAAAAATGTACATAATGTTATACTAGAATACACATAATTGTATACATGAATGTACATAATTACATAACAAAATATACATACTCTTTTTAAAAGATAATACACATAATCTAACATAATACATAATAAACATAAACTTTTAACATAATACACATCAACTCTTAACATAATACACACAAATTTTCTGATTTGGACGTACATAATTGTATAAAAAGAATGTACATAATTGTATTAAAAATGTACATAACTGTATGAACAAATATACATAATTGTATGAACAAATATACATAATTGTGTGAACAAATATACATAATCACAGCAACTTCCTACCGCGCCTCCCAAAACGATCCCAAAACTAGGGGTGGGTACTTCGGTTCGGTTTATCCGAACCGAAGCGAACCAAACCGAACCGAACTAGTAATAGAAAACCGAACGGTTCAGGATTTTGTAACCCAAACGGTTTAGTACCGAACCGAACCGAAACCGAACGGTTTGACAAAAACCGAACCGAACCGAATGCTATATAATTTTTTTAATAAATAATAATTATAATAATAATAATAATAACAACAACAACAACAACAATAATAATAATAATAATAATTATAATAATAATTATTATTATAATAATAATTATAATAATAATAAACAAGTAAATCCAAGTTCCTTGATGCCTGCTCCGCCGTTCAGTTCTCATTCATACTGATACCGAACCTTACATTTTTTATTTGATTTCTTTATAGCTTGTTTTCTACATTGCACTTTTGTTGTTTGTCGCAATTGTTCTTTACCTCACAATTATATCTAACTTGAGTTATATTTACAATATTCAGTATTTTCCTTAATTTCATGTTTTTCTATAAATTTAATGTGCTTTACAGTCATTCTAATTTTGATTTCCAGTGCACTATAATTATTTTCTAGTACTGGAATATATTTCGAGTGCACTAGCAATGATAGATCGTATCCAAAAATTAACTATATAGAATTGACACTAGTTCATTTAATATCAACTATACAGATAGATGATTATTCATCTTATCAATAAAAATATTCCAACTGAACCAACTGAAGAGCCGGTTGTGCAAAAACGTTAACTAATGTTTGGTAATTAGTACTTAGTATTGTGTTTGAACTTTGGATTTCTATTTTGTTATATAATGTTTAGAGTTTGAATTTGGATTATGTGAATATGTATTGTTTGGTAGTATGTTCGAAAAATTAGGAAACGTTGAAATTTGGGGAGCTTAAACCGAACCGAACACCAAATTGAATTAAATCCGAACCGTTTCAAACCGAACCGAAACTGAACCGAACCTTAATGTTAAACCGAATGGTTTAACTTTTTTAAAACCGAAAAACCGAAACCGAAAAAAACCGAACCGAAACCCGAAACGCCCACCCCTACCCAAAACGCACCAGTGTCATCTTTTGGGAGGCGCGTTGTGCATAGTGCTACGCGCGCCGTGGTGTAGGGTATAACGATTCAGGAAGAGGAAGGTCAATCGCGGACTACATGACGCCCGAATTCTCAATGCACAACTCGATTTGTGTCTCACCTCTTGAGAATGTCAATTTTCATATCCACCCTGCGGTTCTAAGTCTAGTCCAAAACAGCCCATTCGGAGGAACAATTTTGGAAGACCCCCATAACCATATCATACGTTTTATTCGTATTTGTGGCATGTTTCGACAAGAAGGCATGCCAATGAGATTATAAGACTAAAATTGTTTCCATTTTCCGATGTAGGTGAAGCATTAAGATGGTTGGACTCTCAAGATGCTGATCATTTTAGATCATGGGCTCAATTGCACAAATATTTTATGAACGAGTTCTTCCCGTTGACAAAGACCATGAAGATCCGCAAGCAAGTGCAAGAATTCAAGCAAGGCTCATTGGAAAGCCTATGAGAGGTTTGGCGGAGGTTTAAGTCATTGAGAAGACAATATCCACCGGATTTGCTACACCCATGGGACGTGATTAGTTGGTTATATGGAGGCCTCACGGACGAAGGAAAGATGTTGTTGGACTCATCTTCAAGTGGAGCTTTCGTATCATCCTCACCGGCGAATGCCGAGGCATTGATAGAAAGGATTTCGTCAAATATATCCTTTTGGTATAACAAGAGAGACTCAAGGCTGGAGATGTATGAGGTAAAAGGGAGTGTGGCCCATGTGGCGAAATTCGAAGCAACGACCCAAGAAATCAAGAAGTTGCAAGCGGTTGTTGATAAATTGGAAGCTAAATCTCAACCTTGCATGGCTCTAGCCTTATATTGCAACATATGCGGAGGTCCTCACGATACCAACATTCGCAAATCTACAATTCAAATTGAGGAGGTGGAAGCGGCAAACTATCCACCACCGCAAAGGCCGAATGGATTGGGAAGTGAGAATGCAAATTGGAAGCAAGGAAGTGGTTGGCAAAACCAAGGTTATCAAGGGAGAACGCAAGGAAAGAATGCTTATGGCACAGGAATGGAGAGAAGAATTACTTATGGTCCTAACTATAATCAAGGACAATCCAATACTCTCTACCGATCCCCAGGAAATTCCCAAGGCGAAATGGTAATGCAAAAGTGTGAGGCAAAAGATATAGAAGAAAGACTATCTAAGGCCATCAATGACTTAAAACGAGATCAAGGATTTTTGAGGCAAGAAATCACTCAAGAAATAAGGCAAGAGATAGCCTCGGTGAAACAAGAGTACACTCTTTCGTTGAAGAACATTGAAACTCAAATGTCTCAAATGTTCTGGTTAATGTCCGAAAGACCATGGGGAACACTACCAAGTAATACCGAGAACAATCCTAAGGAAAGAGTGAATGACGTGTCCTTAATGAGGCCAAAAGAAGAAGAGAGAAAAGATGCAATGGAAAAGGTTTGTGAAGGAGACAAAACCTACACCGTGAAGGTCAAAGAACAAGAGATTACCTCTTGGGATCTCTTGAGAAAGGAAGAAGGAAAGGAAGTTGAGAAAGAAGCCACACCACCACAAGGCAAGGCTCAAGCACCTCGAAAAGGCAAGATTTAGCAAGCTACAAGATTTCGAATACAAGGGAAAGGTATATTCTATCTTGAATACTCTTCATTGCGCTTGCTTTGTTAATGAAGACTTTGATAGCGATGAGGAGGAGGTTTTACCTCAAATCAATCTTGGTGAAGTGGCATCGGTTATTCTTCACAAGGGATGCCCTAAGAAACAAGGTGATCCCGGTGCTTTCTTTGTGAATTGTGTTATAGGAGATTGTATTTTTAAGGATGCGTTAGCCGATTTATGAGCTTCTATTAATATCATGTCTTCCCATGTCTTTGAAAGGCTCAAGTTGCTTTGTATAGCTCCCACACCACTTGTAGTTCGGTTAGCCGACGGGACTACCCGGAACCCCCGAGGTGTGGTTGAGAAAGTGCTTGTCAAAATTGGAAGAAATTTTGTGCCGGTTGATTTTATAGTCCTAGATGTAGGAAAGGATATAGAGGTGCCATTGATTTTAGGAAGACCGTTCTTGGCTACTTGTCGTGCCCTAATTGATGTAGGGACGGGCAAGCTCATCATTAGAATCAATGATGATGAAGTTGATGAGAGCCAAAAGGAGAAAAAAGAAGATGTTTGCTCGGTGATCACGAAAAGAGCCAAGAAGAAAATCAAGCCTTGGTGGGAAATTGGAAAAGTGTCTTGGGTACCTAAGTGCCTAAATGTCAATGACTTTGAAGAGGGTTAGAAAAGGTAACACGTCTAGCCAACGACGCTAAACGTAGCGCTTGTTGGGAGGCAACCCAAGGTTTCATTTCCGTTTTGTTTGTTATTTTGTTTTTGGTTTTGGTGAATAAATTGGAAATGATAATTGTGACCTGAGTTGTTTTGTTATTTGGAACTTGGAAAAGCTAACATTTCAGGGATTTGGAAGTGACAAAAGTTGAAGGAATTGACCAAAGAAAGACAAACTGCTAGGGTGTGAACGAAAAACCGAGAAAAAGTAAAGTGGGAAGTGACAACGAAGTAACAACGCACGTTGTGACATACGTTATGACATAGGCCGAAGGATTAATGAAATAGGGGAAATTCACAACGTACGTTGTGCCCGCGTTGCAAAATAGAAGAAAAAGGGGAAAGTTTCTACAAAGTTCACAACGCACGTTGTAACCAACGTTGTGAGGAAATTCGAACGCCCAACGCACCCTCCAACGAAGCCCCAACGTGCGTAGATAGGAAGCTGAAATTGAGAAAAATTCTAGAAAGCTCAACGCGATTCACAACGCACGTTGTGAAGTAATTCGAACGGCCATCGCACGTCGCAACGTGCGTTGCGGCATGCGATTGCAGGATTCCGCAATTTAAACCCTCAAAACCCATCATTCTCTCATTCTCCACTCCCAAAACGCAAAATCCATTCTCTCACACGCAAAGTATTGCCTCTTCTCCATCTTCTTCTTCCATTCAAGCTTTAAGGACTCAAGTTTGCAAGAATGTCTTCTCACCAACAAGGTAACCATCTCAACCTTCTAATCTCCATTAACGAAGCTCAAAGCTTTCTCTCTCTAGGTTTGAAGATGGTAGATTGTTTTCTTTATGAGTTCTATGCTTATAAATTGCTAAGATTGCATAGTTGTTGAGGTTGTGACATATATTTGTGATCAATTTGTGTTTGAATGCCATTATTGATGATGCATAGATGCAAGCATGAACCCTAGATAGGAAATTGGGGATTCTTGATTTTGAATTGCTAATGTGTCTTGCATGATGAAATTAATGATATGAAATTGCAATTGCATGCTTGTTATTATCAAATTTTGCACAATGTGATTGAATGCGACCATGATTTTGCATAAACACTTTTGTGATGAAATTTTCCATGGACTATTTGGGGAAGATGAAGTTGACTTGTTGAATTTTTGAATTTGAGCTTATAGTATGAATATGATGAATGTGTTGAATATGCAATAATGTTAGTCATCTTTGTCTCAATTTAAAGTGTGGAAATTGTTAGTGTTTTAATTGCTCAAAAACCCCAACATATAATTGGCAATATTATTATGGCAAACTAAGATAGGGTTAGCTTGGTGCATCAGTGAATAACACACTCTACCGAAGTCTGATAGGAAGTCTGCTGTACTTAACCGCTAGTCGGCCAGAAATAATGTTCAGTGTTGGAAAATGTGCAAGGTATCAATCTGATCCAAAAGAATCACATCTGATAGCTGCTAAACGAATTTTGAAATATATAAAAGGAACAATTCAATATGGGCTATGGTACTCCAAGGACAGTGAACTTAGTCTAGTTGCATACTTTGATGCTGATTGGGCAGGAAATATTGATGACAGAAAGAGTACTTCAGGTGGATGCTTCTTTGTTGGTAAGAACTTGGTATCGTGGCTGAGCAAGAAACAGAATTCAATTTCCTTAAGTACTGTAGAGGCAGAATATATAGCTGCTGGTGGATGTTGCACTCAGTTGGTGTGGATGAAACAGATGCTTCTGGACTATGGGCTTACTCAAAGAATTATGACACTCTACTGTGATAATGTCAGTGCAATCAATATCTCGAAGAATCCAGTTCAACATTCTAGAACGAAGCATATTGATATAAGGCATCACTACATCAGAGACTTGGTAGAGTCCAAGGAGATAGAGTTGGAATACATTCAAACAGATAAGCAACTGGCTGACATTCTGACTAAGCCCCTGGATGCAAATCGATTTGAGATTCTCAGATCCACTCTGGGAATCTGCAGGATTGATTAATAAGGCAATAAGTTACACAGAAAGAAAGAACATGGTGTTATATTTACTGGTCAAATTTCAGCCTTTGACTTCTTTTTAAAACTCCCTTCTGTTTTGTTAAGAGAATATCTTAACCTAATTTACCATAAAGTAATTAGCCTTTTTCGAATTTCAAATCTTCAACTCTTCCGTTTCTTCCTAAAAAGGAGGTATACCGTTGCGTCAATCACATCAGCTCTGCATGTAATCTGACAAGCTGCATTGAATAGGGTTCTTCTCCCTTGGGATTATATATGATTATCGGGTCAAGTTTGAAAGGAAGAAGAGTTCAAAAATATCTCTGCTCACTGATTATTTTCTCTTTGCTCTTCTACCTAGGGTTTACCTTCTTGCATACCCAAATTGCATATCAATGGTGGACGCTGTAAGAAATATCATCATCAAGCTTGGGAGAAAGGTCCATTCACCAGAAACAGCCACTAAGCATGTAAAAACGCTGCTCCAGTTAGCTATGAAGAAGAAGTTGAAGCTTGATCCTATTCTACGGGATGAAATCATGGTCATCGTGCTTTCCGATTATCCGGAGTTTTATGCAGACTGGTCCGAGGAGGACACCAGTGAGCTCTTGTTGCTGGCCTCCGAAGCGAGTGATGAGGTTAGCCCAGCATCTATTCCAGAGCCCGCAGATAGAAATCGTGTCGGGGCATTCCTTCAATACTTTGCTCAAAGGGCTCTTGAATCAGACGAGGTCTCACGTCGTCGAGCAGCAGCTCAACCCCGATACCTACAGGCTGCCCAGGACGAAGCCAAACACCGATTAGAGATTCTTCGTAACAGGTCCAATTCTTCTTAATCTCCTATTGAAATCTCTCCTGATAATCCTGATGATTTAGTCTCAGATGCTATTCCATCTGTTGTGCCTATTGTTGAAACTGATAATGTGAATGCTTTATTATCTGTGAGATCCTCTGTGTCTGATGATCCCCCCCCCCTGTATCCCCTCTGAAAAATCTGATCCTCTGAAAGATGTTGTTGATGAAGTTTCTGAGGAGAAAGATAAATCCTCCGATTTGGCCAACAATCTTAGTTTGGTTGTTTACTCTGCTGACAAAGTTGCTCTGCCCTCTACTTAAATTGCTTCGTTTCCAAGAGAAATCTGTCCTTCTAAGAATCCCTCTAGTTTGCCCACTGAAATTGAGGTTGCCGGTATCTCAAATCCTCATGCCTCTGATCAAATAGATGGGGTGCCAGTCTACACTTCTTCATCGTTGGCTGAGGGCCTTGAACATGTCCGGCACTTTGCAGGTTTACCCACTACCTCTATTCCAGAACCGTATCGTGTGATTCATCCTACTGAGTCCTCTAGTGAAGATGAAAAGATTCTTGCTAAAGTCTATGGCTCACAAGCCCATTTGTCTAAACCCCCCTTCGGTTGAGGCTACTGCGCACCCTGATTCAACCACCTTCAAGATTCGAGAAGTCAGTAGTCTTTTTGGAAGTTCTTCTGCCCAAGTTTCTGAGACAAGTCACTATGTGTCTCCAAGCCCTTCTGCTCATTCTCCATCCAAAGAGACGAGAAAATCCAAATGAAAGAGTGTCCCTGTGAAAGTGGTTGTGGAATCCGGTGATGACAATCTTGATGTGGCTCAACCTGAGAAGAAGAGAAAGTCTGGTGAGTCAGTCAAAACTGAAGCTAATCCTCCTATTCAACAAGTGTTCAAAACCCCGCGGTCATCCGTCAAGCAAAAAGGTCCTGCTGTGGTTCCCACATCTTTTACCCGGAAAGGGAAACCAATTACTCGCTCCAGAGGACGAAGTATTACGCCTGAGGTTCAACCTACTACTGAGAATCCTGACACATCTATCTATAGTCCTCAGTTTGTCTCCTCTACTGCTCAAGGAAAATGGTCCACAATGATCCGGAGAGATCTTATTGTTCAGCGGTCTGTTGATGAACACCAGTTGAACTCTGTTTGCGACATCTTGCCCTTGCTGAGTGAAGTGGGCCTGTTGAAGACTGTCTCCTCTATTTGCCCTTATTCGAAGCTTCTGACTTCGAGATATGAGTTCTATTGTAACCTTAATGAGGAGATTGACAATTTGACCGGGACACGACCAATGCAAATCTTCATTCGAGGTAAATGGTATGTCTTTGGCCTTGACATGATAAATGAGTATTATGGTTTGAAAGGTGTGCACGAGGAAGAAATCACGGACTGGGATTTGGTGGCAAAGACCCTCACTGGTGGACAAACTGATACATGGCCTACGGGTGAAAAAGATTATCTGCCTAGCTCACAACTCACCTCCAAATATGTCATCTTGCACCGTCCTGCACTTCACAACTGGCTTCTATCGGCTCACTTTCATATGGTCGGCAAGCAATTGGCAGCTCTCTTGTTTTGGATTGGGACAAATATGTCTATTGATCTGGGGTCCTGGATTTATTATCATATCCTCACTTTGATCCATCCTCGAGAGAAAAAGGTATGGTTGCCATTCCCTAATCTGATATTTGGAGTTCTAACATCGCAAGGCCTTGAGCCAATGCCTAGTGAGGTGATCAGTCCGACTCATCTTTATACTGTTAATCCTCGTCTTCTGACTGGAGGTCACATCCGAGACATTACGCCGGTGATTGCTCCGTCTAATTCTGATGCTGATACAGTGGCTGATGATTCGCCACATGCGAAAGATGTCCAACTCTCTCTTCGTCTAAAGGCCCGAGTATCTGAACTTGAGACTGTTCATGGAATCATTGCGAAGCAGCTGACAGGGGTCCGTACTGAATTAGCTATCGTTCTTCTCCGCTTGAGCTTGACTGAATCTGCTGCTACTGATGCTGCTAAGTCTGACAGTGAGAACCCCTCCAATGCTTAACCATGCTTTGATTATCATTGGCAAAAAGGAGGAGTGTGGAACTCAGGGGGAGTATTTTGATGTTTTTGTACCTTCTGGCCCTGTCTGTGTGTCTGATTGTGATGGAACCACCTTATGAAGAATGTTGTTTTGTTCCAGCATAACTTGTACGCTGTGCTTTTGTTATGCTTGTAATCAGATATTTGGACTTCTATGCAATTATTATCTTAATCCTATCTAGTTTGTGTTTTTATAAGTAGTCGAGTTGTTTTGCCAAATAATAGCCAAAGGGGGAGTTTGTTAGTGTTTTAATTACTCAAAAACCCCAACATATAATTGGCAATATTATTATGGCAAACTAAGATAGGGTTAGCTTGGTGTCGGTTTGTTCTACAGAGGACTAATTGATCAGATACAGCAACAGAGGGACTGACACGGAAGATCTGTTTTAAGAAGACGTTTCCTTTTTGCAGAACGCGGTTTAAGAAGTCAGTTTTTGGAAAGAAGATCAGCGTATCTGTCTTGGAAAGCTATGGACCGGATCTTTAAGATTATATTCTTCTTATATCGTCCTACCATCTACAATCAGAGATATCTATGGAGAGTGTTCTTATTATGGAACTATAAGTACTCTTATTCGATCAAGAATTAGGGTTATGTTTTTGAGAAGAAAGAAACACTCCGACATATACTAAGAGATCACATCTTTGATTATCATGACTCTTCTCAAGACAATTTGTTCTTGTTGATTATGATGAAGAACTTGAGAAGAGATATCGTTGCTTAAACGAAAAGGACGCTAAGATCACACAGTTGTGGTAACAACATTGGACTGTGTCATTGAAGTGGACTGCATCAGAGTTAGCTCTCCAAGTGAAGGGATTTCATTGGACTTCTGTATGCTTGGCTCTCCATCTTCAACAATCCACTAAATCAGTGTAGACTGGGTACGTACCTTGTGTGGGGCACTTGGATGAGATTATTGTTCTCTACCTTTGTACATTGGATTATTTGTTAGTTGATTGGACGCCTATGTAATCGTCCCCCAGATGTAGATACACACTGTATCGAACTGGATAAACATCTTGTGTGTTGTTCTTTTCGTTGTCTGCCTTAGTTTACTCTTTCCGCAAGCTAATTAGTGATTCAACTATCTGACTGATATCATCGCTGAATCTGTCAGACTAGTTCATCAGTCGTTTAATTAATATCATTAAATTGAGAAAATGTAAAATTACAGAAATTGGCCAAGAAATAGGGGAATCTATGTCAAATTTTTTGTAGAATTTGGTCATTCATCTTTGGAATGATAAAGGGGATTTGAATGCGATGTGCTTATACTCAATGTGTGGTTTGTTTTGCACTATTATATATGCATGATTTGAGAACGTTTTCTTGTCAGCAATTGTAGGTCAACGCAAAAGGCGAAAGGAAATGTCTAAGAAGAATAAGCACGATAGAGCAGGCTCAAGTCGCCAACAACAACCCGAATTCGATTCGGATGATGAGATCTTCACGGAAAATGAGCAAGGGATACAGGAAAGGGTGACCGGCTCAAGAAGACTCAATCTGACTGCGGGTCAATTGGCCGCAGCGAAGGAACTTAAGCGGTTAGATGTGATTGGAGGACAATACTTTGACATGCCGATCTTAGACTCATTTGGTTGCCGAGCACAGGTGGAGAACTTAATCGATCATCCACAATGGCACACCATCTTTGGTCTGAGGGGCAACACCTACGCCCCGGTAGTCTACGAGTTCATAGCAACCCTCCAGTTCGCGAAGACCGGCTACAATTATAATAACAAGTCTGTGTCCTTCATTTTGTTTGGAAAAGAGTACCATCTGTCTGTGAATGAGCTTGGTTTCTACGTGGGAGCTCATACCTTTGAGGAGATCAAGTCTGATGAATTCGAGCGCTACCCCACCGACTTTGGCAGTGATCAAAAGTTCAGAACTTTCTGGCGAGAGATTTCAGATGGAACCCCCTTCGACCCCAACAACACTAATGTCAAGGCCATTCAATCAAATGAGTTGAGGGCAAGTCGTCATGCTATGGCAGTGACCTTCACTGGAAGAAGGTCAAACTTGCACAAGGTTTATACGGCCGATTTATTCGACCTTTGGAGCATGATAAAGGGAAGAAACATCAACATGGGAGTGCAAGTGAAGAAATGGTTCCGAGCCCAAAGCAATGACAGGTGCACCCCAATCTTTATTGGCCCAATTCTAACAAGGCAAATTTTTGGCTTAGGATTGCAAGATAAGCTGAGGAGGGAGAAGAGGATTGCGTCTATGACCACTTTCACAGTGCAAGACTTTGTGAGGGCCCGAATGATAAGGCTTGGAGATAGTACTTTATTAATTATGTAGGAATTAATTAGCAAACATTCTGTATAATTCCCAACTTAACTTACTAAATAATAATTTATATAATAACTCAAAAATAATTAATTTAAATTATATTGGCACCAAAATTTATTAACAGTTAAATCATTGTTGGTTCCCAGATTCGTAACAATCCCACTCCCCTGTGGATCAATTACCCGATACTCCGGATATTGTATTATTTGTTTGAAAATATACTACAATCAACAACAACACCCTTGAAGCTGTGCTATCTTCTTCCTTCGTCCATACCGTCTGATTCTGCCTTATTCTCTAATATAAGTTTGATTTATCAATTTTTTGATTTATCAATTTAAAAATAAAAAAAAAAAATGAAAGAATTAAGCAGTAAAAGCTTCTAGAAGGAATATGGGAATCAAGGAACCAATTGAAAGTACTAAACCGTCCAACAAGTCAATAACAGAAATGAAAACATCATCCCACAAATTCTTCGTCAATGTCTTCCTTAATTTTGTCTTCATTTCACGGAAGTGTATAAGCTAAGTATTATTGTCTTCAATATGAGAATTATAAAATCCATAGAGTGTTATTGGAGGACACAATACCTTAACTTTGGTCGCCAAAGTCATTAGAAAATCATTTCACTATTATAATAATTATCGATTATCGATTAAATTCAACAACAATAATTGGTTGTATTGGATTTCTCTAATCTGAATGCAAAATAATGTTTAAATAAATGATTAATATGTAATGGAAAAATAAATGGGCAATCATAATTTTTACATGGACTCATGGAGACTGTAAATATGAAAACTAAAGGTGTTTTTGGATAATGTTAAGCCAAATTTCACAATTTTTTTGTGAGGGTTGGAAAATTTCTCAATTAACTAAGTTTTGATCCAGTTCTTTTATTGGTAAAATTAATTTCTCTTTGATAAATATATATATATATATATATATATATATATATATATATATATATATATATATATATATATATATATCTACTATCTACTATCTACTATACTAATAAGAGCCCAAGATAGTTAGGCCTATAATGGGTAGAAAAAATGGCGGTCACAGATTTTAATCAAATGAATGGCTCAGATTGATTAAAAGATGGATCAGATTTAAATTTTACACTAAAATTTCCTAAAATACCCACACACCGTTACTAATTCCGTTAAAATTTTAAGAATTGTCGTTAGTTCACCGTTAACTTACTCATTGATTTCAATAAAAAAAAAAAAAAAAAAAAAAGTTAGGTCCGAACCTCATCACAATCAAAGTTGGCATAATTAGTACTCTATTTTACTCTTATTAAATTATATAAATAATAATTTAGTAGTTACAACAAAAAATAATACATATGAATTTCTTTAATTTAGAATTATGTGTCCACAATGCCTTTATTCAAAAAAAAAAAATATTCATTATCAATAAATTAAATAAGAGAAATAATTTTATTAGTTATATTGTCTTTATTTTTCTTCAATATAAAAATTCTTTATATTCAAATTTATTAATTGATTATATTCGCTACATTGTCCTTACAATGTCTTTATTCAGTGAAAAAAAATTATTAATTATCAATAAATTAATTAAAGAAATATTTTCATTAGTTATATTGTCTTTATTTTTTTCAAATGTAAAAATTTTTACATTCAAATTCATCAATTGATTATATTCACTACATTATCTATTGTCTTTTTTGTGCACTATCTGTCTAATTAAATATCAAAGTTATAATACAAAATAATGCTATATATTTATTTACCAAGTATTTTATTAATACCATGAAAAAATTAAAAAAATATAATTAATAAAGCCAACCATATTAACTACTTGAGAGATTTTGTGGCAAAGAGAGTATTCAAATCACACAACAAATTGAAGTGAGAACTACCTCGCAATGTCCTTGTTTGACAATCAGCGGTTAGCGTTAGCGGATTATACTAGCGGATTTGACCAGCGAATTTATTCAATTATTAACATTGGGTAGAAAAAATGACCGCCAAATTATTAAATCAAATGAATGGTTCATATTTTTCAGGTTTTAATTTTTTTCTTTTAAGATTTTCTAATTTATCCTTAATTATATGATTATCCATTTAAATTTTCCGTTAATTCATCGTTAGTCTAATTCTAATATTAAAGTCTAATATAGAATTATAACTACACCATTAATCTAATTCTAATATTGAAGTCTTAATAGAACTTAACCACAAATCCTAATGTCGGAATCTCCTCAAACAATATTAGTATATATTTAATATTTTATGCCCTAATTTTTATTTGTTCTCCCTTATGTCCCGTATTTGGTTTCAACTATACCTATACAATTATTTTATTGACAATTATAATCAATCTTGACTATATTATCTTGCATTTGTAAACTTAGAATTACCTATTTAACTCGCACGAGCTTAGCTCAATGGTTTAGTGGGTAGTATTTGGGAGAAGAGACCAAGGTTTGAACCTCGGCGGCGGCAGTGCGGGAATTATGTCCAAAGTGGGCAGATTCCTTGTGCGTATCAGCATTTGGCCTTGTCTGCTGAACCATTAAGTCACCGTGATTTACAACTTCCCACAATGCTCTGTCGGGTCGGAGTGTGGGGGGCCCTTGGAGTTGGGACTCAACCTTTGGGAGAAGAATTACCTATTTAAAT